TTTAAACGGTTTTGCGAAATTTCTGTCAGATCCCGCCGGCGGGATCGCCGGTCCCAAGGGGTTAAATGTATTTAAATAAAATCGGGCATCTTGTTTAAAATAAAACTAACAAAATACAAGTAAATGCATCTAGGTCTAGGCTGTTCACATAGCCTACATTGTATTAAACATTGTGTTAAAACAGCACGTTCATGTTAAAGAGAATTATTTCTAGTTTAAAACTAGTGGCAGGCCGGCTTTTAACCACCACCGCTTCTGGGGTCATGCCGTACGCTCATTTTACCAGCGGCAAGGCACTACTACCCTGAAAATACGTCCATTGGAGCTTAAGTCCAACGCCTTAACCACTCGGCCACCCTGGTGAACATGGTACATATGCATACATTTTGTCTATTTAAAAAATGCTATTACAAATCACCATTTATTTAATTTAGAAATATATTATTTATACTGTTTACAAATAAGTCAGATTAACAAATAGAGTTAATGCGCATTCTGTCAGGATGGTGGCGTGCTCACACAATTAAGGGCCATGGGTTAGCGATTACAATTTCCGCCGTCGCCATTTTGAACGTGTGTCTGCGTCAGGGCGCCTGCGTGACGCGTGCTGCCCCCACTGGGCAATCATTCGACCCGCAAGTTTGAACTGGGGGGCAGGACACGGTCGAGCTGCGGGGCTAAAATGTTTGCTGGTTAAATGTTTTCTTCAACCTAACACTGGTAAATATCGCTAAAAGTTTTTCTTGTTCTTCTTTAAATACGTGGGTTAAATGTAATGGGTTTAAAATGTTTGTGCTTGTTTCGCATTTGCTCTTTTGTGCTTGTTTAAAAGTTAAAAGTTTGGGCCTTGTGTCATTTGTGCTTAAAATACGGTGTTTTATCTTGTCAGTGTTTCGCTCGGACATGTCTCTACTTGTTTAAATTCCGTCTGCTTTTCTTTCTTTTAAATGTATCACTAAAGTTTTGCCCTAGCTTACGTTCATCCTGCTATATGTTTTATTATTCCTTAAAAACATAATTAAAAATAACACATTAATAAAATACATGTAATGTATTTTTATTCTATTAAAGTTTAACAACCCCCCCAAACCATACGACCCCTTATCGGCAACACGTGGCATAAGCATGTATGATACCATTTGGCCAAAAACCCCCTCCCCCCGACCAATCAGAACAAAGGATACACCCACCTCCCGCTTATGACGTCATAGATGGGAGAGAGCTTTAAGCTCCGCCCAAACTGCCACATAACCTCTCTCACACCTGATACACTCCAGTAGCTTCTCACTATTACAGCCAACTTAGCTTCAACATAGTTGGCTCCAATATTTATCTGTATCAGATGAGTTAAATTAGGGTTGCACCTAAGCTTGGCAGAGTGGTACATCTCCAGAAGCAGGATTAGTGACCACTAATCTAAACTATCATGCTGCTGTACAATATCCTGGATACATTTTATTTTCTGTACAAAGGGAAAGGGAAGGGCACTATACCTTGGTATGCTGCCCATTCTGTGTCTTCATGAGAGTCTTGTTGTCCGTTTCAATGCCGAAAGAGAGATAGGGGCTGGAAACAATATCTCCCCAATACCCTCGAACTGCCACTCTGTCTCCCCTCTGATAGAAAAAACAACAAACAACCGAACACACCATGACTATATGACATCACTGCACCTTTTAACAATGACCATGTTTAAAATACGGTTTTATTCATCTTACTCCAAACTATTATCAATATCTCAAACTGTATCCGTTTCATTGCAAGAAACTATTGTTATACTGTATAAATAAAACACAAGACGAAATTAATAGCAAGTTAGTCTGTAGATTCCTAGTTAAGTATTTATTACACTCAATTATTAGAGATAGATTTGTAGTAAAAAAAAAACCTACATAATGTACAAGAATGCACCACTCATGAAACTGGGTTTCACACAAAAATACATACCAATTTACATGCCTGTATGAATAATCATTTAAGTATATAAGTTACAAGTGAATACTAACGTGATTGAGTATGCGGGTGGAAAGCACACTGTGATTGGTGGATTGGTAAAGACCCTCCCTCATCTCAAAAGCCACACCTCGCTCCCTCCACCTGATATACTGCTGCTTGTTAATGACTGTACACTGAGAGAGGAAAAAACACAAAGATTATTGGTGCTCATACAAAAACACTGGATGCACAGAAACACAGCTGCCCTAATGGCAATCAGTATTTTTCAGTACTATGTTTGTAGAAATGATCAGCAATTTAATGCTACACAATTAGTTTTAGGCCAGCATGGTGTTAGCAGATTGCCTGACACCTCCATAGCTGGAGGGTTTGTATCTGCCTCTGTGTGTACAGAGTTCCATGGGTCTCCTCTGGTTACTCCTTTTCCTCATGCAGTCCAACGACATGTAGTAAGGCTTACCCTAAAGTTAAAGTTTGAAATTTCACGTTTTTTGTCATATTTAGGGGACAGTGATATTCTTATGCCACAGTTGCAGGGGAAGGCGCAGGCAAATGGTGGGACAAAAGGACAAATGGTACTGCAATAAAACAAAAGACAATGCAAAACAAGACAAGACAAGTGCAGTATATGAATAAGTGAACAATAAATAAGGTGTATCTTTGGCAAATGCCCAATGCTACCTGGCATGGGCTCTAGGCCATACCCCTCCCCCCCCAGCCCCCAACATGATCCTGACTCGAATAAGCAGTTGAATGGATGGATTTAAAACTCTTTTAAAACACTTTTTACAATGGAGGTGAAACACTCACATGCCTCTGATGCAGCTTCATCATAAGATCCCAGTCAAAGCATCCCAGTCTAGAATCATAGCGTGTGCCCAGGTGCTGCCTAACCCGGCTATCCCAGGCCTTTGATATGGAAGGTGATGGAGAGGGTGGATGTATCCACTGTTTGAATATCCTGTCCAGATCATCACGGTCCTTAAACTGAAATGAAATCAGAGTGCTAATGTAAATTGTAGGTTTTCATTCCCAGTAGTAAGACAGACAGCCTTGTAAGATAGGCAGGACTGTTTCTATTATGCTAGGATGATTAAATTTTTTTCCAAGAATAAGCTGTGCAATGAAAGAATAAAGAAAACCTTAGTTTTATTTATTGTGAGAAAATAAGAAAGCAAACATTTTGAGTCATGCAACTTCAAAGTATCAAAAGTATCCAAACACATGACTCACCCTAAGATGAGTAGTGTCTAGGCAGGAGTTGTTAAGGCCTGTTAGTGTGTTTGTAACACCCAAGGAAAGCTGCCTGGCCATGTGTCTGAGCATCTGCTCGGTCTGACTGCGGACCTCACTGTTCCCAAAGATCTCCAGGAATACCTCAGTTTTCTCTGAAAGACAATGATATTGATGCATCAAATACAAATCATTGTGAATCACATTCTGACCTTATGTATAGTGCCAGATGCTGACCCTGTAGTCCCATGCTGCGTGGATGAGTGAGGGCCAGAGAGAGCAGCAACAGCTGCCTAGCTACCACTTCCAAGCAGTTTTCTACGACCCACACCTGTAAAGGCAAAGAAAGATTACACTTAAACGCCTTGCCTTTTAAAATGCAACCTCTGAACTAAAACATACTAAGTACATTTAACCAGAAAGACATAAATAATAAAAATTATAGCAATAATACCAACTTCTACTGTAATACAGAAGAAGACCATTGTCACACCAAAGGGGAAGCATGGGCCAGGGAAGCAGAAGAAGGAGCCGAAGAATTGGGGAACGAGGGATTTATTGGGGGAACAATACGGAACATAATGCAGGACAAAGGATAGACGTCAATGACAGAACTGGGGAAAGACTAACAGGGAAGCACTTGATATACATGGACTCAATTAAACAAGATGAGGAATGCGGGGGCGTGACACACAGGAGGAGCGGCATGATCGGGAAGTGACAACCATAGGCAAGAATTTAGTCAGTCATTTAGTCTTTAAAATGAATTTGCATATTAGCCAGTACAGATGCTCCTCTACTTATGAATGAGATATGTTCCAAACAGTTGTTTGTAACTTGAAATGTTCATAAGTCGTTATTCAACATCATTTTAAGGGTATACGCAAGTACTAAGAACTAGGATGCTGGGAGTACGCACGCTACGCTGCTGTGCAGCGGGAGTAGCAGCCAGAAGTTGTACTAGGCGGAATTGGTGTGCAAAAAAAAAAATTGATGCAGACAGGAAATAGGAGTCCAACGAACACAATTTGGACTTACAGTCCACTTCGTTTATATGTCTGAAAGTTGAAAAGTTGAAAATTCGTAAGTGGAGGAGCGTCTGTACATTTATTGCTATTTTGAAATGACAGTAATTATTTTACAATAAGGTGTATGTTTCCATTTGCTTTATAAGGAATGCTAAAAAATTCTTTGTTCTAAGAAAAATGCTGACTAAGCCCATTTGAAGCAGCCTTCACTTGTGTACACATTTCCCCAGAAAGCTGCCTTTGACCAATGACAGAGCTGCAGGCGCCCAGGCACCCACATGTAGGGTATCGGTGTCTCTCAGGTGGGCGATGGTTTTGAGGATATGTCTTGGGTCTCCACTGCCAACAAGCAACACATTCACTCGACCCTTCTGTCTCACTGCTCCTGGAAAAAAGAGAACAGGATCATTTTTAGGAAAAAAAATAAAAATTAGAAATAACAAAACAAACACACAGACACATATTATACATCTTATGCAGTACTGGGTTATGGAGAGCCTGGATACTATTCCAAGAAGCACCTAGCACAAGGCACAAGCCACCAATACAGGCATGTTCACATTATTTGGCATTTTTAAATGTTAATTTTTATTTATAAATGTCAGCTCTTTGTGATCTAATTTTCCATGAAAAATCAAGTAGGTGTACATGATCAAGAATTCACCATTGTTATTACTGATATGAGCACGTCCGTGCTAGCAAATAGGAAGAAATAGTATAAGCAGAGGGGTCACAATTTCTGATAGCAATCATCAAATGTTGTGAACTCAAACAATTCTAGGAAAAAAAACATTGACCCAGCAGACATAAATAAAAATTACAATCCTGGAAAGATTTCATAACAGATTTTGTGACCCGAGTATTGGCTTCTGGAAAAGCAGCAACACACTATTCAGTTTTAGGCAAAAAAAAATGTGGTGGTTGGGTCTTCAAACAGACTGTTTACACACTTCAGACAATTGTCGTCACATTATATCTAGCATTACTAATTGTCAGGAAATGTAGTGGTAACAGCCGTGTAATCAGGCGCGTAGCCAGTAATGGGCCAGGGCGGCACTGGCCCGCCCACATTACTCCCTGGCCCACCCAGGCAAGTTTGATCAAAA